CCTGACTGCTTCGATGATGATATTAAAAGATTTAACGAAGGCATATATTTTGCATACAAATGAAATGTTTATGAAACTGTTAGAGAAATGTTCTATGGTGACCAAAATCGGAACAATTTCAGCTATTTCCTCATTGAAACAACCGACAATGAAAGCAAAATATAACATCTTAAAAATTGTTTGAAGAAAACTTTATTCATGACAACATGTTGTTTACAAACCTTTTTTGATCGATATTCGTTGCCATCTCCGTCAACCACCACCGTTAGAATTTGGCAGGAGGGGATTTGAAAGTCCATCAGAAAACACTCCCCTTTCGAAAGGCCACGAAAACAATGTCCCAACCGAAGTGACAGCTTATCTCTTTATTATAATTTGGAACCTCGCGCTAGAGCGCTCGGTTTAAAATTATAATAAAGAAGTATCTATTCTACAGTGGGACTACATCAAATTTCAAAACACAGTAGGTTTATCTCCTAAATGAACTGCATACTGACAAGGGAATTTCAGGTTCTCATTTGTATCTTTACCCCATAATTCCAGGAGCCTCATATAAGTACAAGCCACCTCTGTCAGTCCAATGCCCCCATATAACCCACATGACAAGCTTCCCTAACTTGATCATTATGACAGTTTGAAGAAGACAAGTTTCATCCACCTGATGACAATGACACGCACACACGCACACGCACACGCACACGCACACGCACATCCACACATCCACCCACACTCACACTCACATATTCACTCAATCATCAATGATAAATAACGCTCACTTTCCCACTCGGAAACGAATTGAAAATAATAATTACAACCACACTTCAACAATACACCTCTAATTTTTGAAGGTCCTAACTGGACATAATTCTAATCTTACGGCCCCGTTTTCCTGTTATGAATTTCACTGACTGCACTGGTATTATTGACAACCGACGTGATGCTGCAAGCCACGTTATAATTCAATTATATTTCCGTAATTCCCTAAAGAAACGTATCCAAATGCTGAAGCTTATATCGTCAAGGTTCTTGATCTCGCCCTTTTTCAACATCAATAAAACTTGAATACATATCAATTGTATGATAAGCAATCAAGTTCCACATCTGAGTCTATCTCCTCAAAAGGTGAGGTGAAGTGAAATTGGGTTTTACTTCGCGTCCAAGATTATTGCACCTATATAGCGACGTGCATGCACGTGTGTGTGTGTGTCTGCTTGTACAGACACAGTATATTGACTCCGAGCCGACCAGTACTTGTTTAAGCCCCTTAATGCCCGGCTCCAGACAGGGTATCAACAAGTACCATCTTTTAACGTCTTTTGTATGACGCAGCCGCAGATCGAACACCGGACCTTCCGCCCTCCGGGCGGACGCTCTACCACTAGACCACTGAGGCGGTCTCCTCAAAAGGACTTTTCAGAGTATGAAAAATAATGGCGGTACTAATGCCTACAAAAGTAACTGCTCTGGTAGTTTTAAGCTATGTATGTAATCATTTTTACTGGACTCAAATATTGTATGATTAAATATAATACGGTAAATACCGTTTGTTTATCATCTTTAACAATAGGTTTCACCACGAGATTCCAATTGGCTAGTGTCATCTGTCTAAAACGTTTTGGTTGTGCACATATAACGCTTCTAAATATATTAAAAAACTCGAAATAACATATGTATCAACTCCTTAATTAAGAAATAAACGGCGTACAATTAAACACTGCAGGGAGAATAAACCATGAGAGTCGCAGCCACGACTCGTACAAGCGTTCGAAACATTTACCCGTATTTAAAGAGTGATGCCTTCGTGGGGACCCGGTGGTAGAATAGAATGTGTCCTCAGCACCCGGGCCAATTGCTGGTCGTGAGAGGCTACCGAATTGGGCAGTCCGTTTGCCGTGGGTTCCGCCCCTGTGTCAGTGGAGGACGGGAGTCTGGTGGCTGAGGGCACTGGAGCCAAGAACAAGTGTTCCTTTTGCCCAACACACCATTTCGACGCTTACTTCATCTAGACGAGCGGTAGAATTGGCCCGATTCTATCAATCGGCTGGTCACGTCAATGCCTAGAATATTTCACAATTTTGCATAGAGTCTTATGCCAGAAGGTGTTGGCTCATAGGCAAATCTGGTGATAGAGACCTCTGAATTCTGTGTTTCTGTAGGACAGTGTTATGGGCAAAAAAAAGCCTGACACTTATTTGTTTCGATCTCATAGCTTGTCAAGTCCATATTTTCTAGAATATAACACCTCTGTATCCCTGGTGATGTAGGTTGACTTCCACTGTGACATCGTTCTTGTTGGCACTCGGTGGCGTTTGGGAGCAGAGGTGCCGAACCATATTATCCCAACATGTCTCAAACAAACCCCTCTGGTTCTAGCAAGACAAATATACGTCCTCATGTAGAGTCTAATTTGTCAGATGAAGAAGTTTCCTCTAAAGTTAAAGACTATTGGCCTAGGTTTGTTGTAATATTATCTTCTGATGAATTTATTTGCTATCTCCAAAGGCATTCAAAATGCCTGCTGAGAAGTGAAAAATGTAACTCGCCTTCGGACTGGTTCCATCCTGGTGGAATGTGCACGGAGGCAGCAAGCTGTCATAATGTTGGATTTACAACAGTTTGTTAACACACAGGTTGTTGTCTAGGTGCATAGGACTCCTGTCGTGGTATTGTCATTGATATCTCTGCACGTTGTCTCTCAGGCTTGGAGGAGGAAGAAATTGTTGCTGGACTGAAATCTCAGGGTGTCACCGGTGTGTAGCGTTTCACAAGAAAACAGGATGAAGATATTATTAAAATAAATACCTACTTTTTCCCCTTTTCACTTCCAAAACTGCCTCTATGTATTAAAGCTGGATACTTCAACGTCGAAGTGGAGGCACATGTAAAGGTATTTTTTATGTGTGTCATGCAATAAATATATTTGACTTTGTACCAAATCCAATCCGGTGTTACAAATGCTAACAATTTTGCAATGGCGCAAAGACATGTACCAATAAGTATATGTGTGTCCGCTGCAGTGGAACTCACGAGAGTATCGAATGCACAAAACAAATGTGCAAACTGCAGTAGGGACTTCTTGGACTCATCAAAAGTATACCCTTCTTTCATATATATAACTTCAGTCAAAATTATCAAAAATCAAACACACCAACAATATTACTTTTCTCAAAGCCAAAAACGTAGTCCAGCCTCAATTTCAGCTTACTTTCTCAAAGCCTTTTCAGCAGCAATTTCTTCCCTGAGTCCTGTTCTCATGATTCATGAGTCCGTCCAAGCTTCTCAAACGAGAAAAAAAACCTCTGTCAACCTCTGCCTCACATTGAACTTCTTTACCAGAACATCAAAGTCAAATATTAAAATCAGAACCAGAGGCATCAGTTCAGGTCGATGCCCATATAGCCCCAAAGACAAAAAAAAATGGAAATGAGGAGAAGAACCTTTGCTCAGTTTGCAGTTCTGGAATATGTAAACCCTTGATCTACGTGATCTCTAGTATAGTTGTGCGGGACCAGCTACACTTTCCCATCATACACACGTGTGTGTTTGGAACACGTGTCAATGTACATGTTTTCAAATTATCTGCAGGAATTGCAGAATATTACAAGTAGTTAATTCTTTCCGGGCAACTCTGAATGGTATCTTGCTTTGGGTCTTAAATTTACCTAGTATTGTTGGTGCAGCAGAATGACATTAGCACGGACAAGAGTATAGGTCCCAATACCAGCAACCTATACTTTTAAGAGGCGACTAAATTGATTGGTCGTCAGGCTCGGGGAGTGTCATAGAACCTAGAACTGGAGTATTGCTGAGTGCTGCGTTAAACAACAAAAACATCACCAGATGTGATAAAAGGTTGTACAATATGAAAGAAATCTGAATGCACAAGCTAAAATTTGAATGAAGAAATATCAATTTATTCGTTAAATCCTCAGATTGACATAACAAGACTTAATAACTTAGTATGAATAATGTCTTACACAGCCTTCAGTTGTTTTACAGTCAGGGAAGGGAAATCATTGCATATACAGTCAACACACTTACTTGCATAGAGGAGTGATTACAAAACCTGATGACGCTCACTGTCCAATTAAGTATGCCATTTTGCAAAAATGATTTCACAGAAAATGACGAGTGTGCAAATTTAGTAATAAGTAAATAAGTGTGTCTAAACTGAATGCCTTGTGCAAATTCCCTTTAAGCATGAAATTACCTATCCTTCGTTTTAGGTATGACATCCACGTGTGTCAGATGTTTGACAACCAATATGGCTGTTTAATTACATTTCCAAAGATCCTGGTGTTCTGAAAAGGACCTCGACTCATGCTATGTTGCAAGTAGCGCAAATAAGACTAATTCTGTTGAAATGACTGTGACAATGTCTTCAACAGAGCAACAGACAATTCCACTCTGATCTCAGATAAGAATGAAAACATAAGTCTATAAACAATGTACATATGACACATTTCACCACACATGAGAGCTCCGTTTGAGAATTCTGGAATATGCCCAGAGTGCATTTTGTAAACATGCAAAGTTTAATTAAGGATTAAGCTGCATGAAAGGCAAAGGTAATGAAAGATTCATAACTGGAAGCATATATGGACATCCCACAATAAGAATATGTAAGATGCCTCCATCTTAACAAACAATACAACAATAAACTAAGTGTTTTGTCGGTAAGTAATAATAAAGATGTCACCAATCTATTTTATTCGTTACTTCTTTGTCATCATTGTCCTAATTGATGTTTCATGCTGGTCAGACTAGGTTACAAAGGTTACTCTGGAGACCTTGTTGAAGATGCTTCCACCATCAATTTGCTATGGTACTTGTCTGTACTGTTCTTATCAACTCATTCAAGCATGTTTTTGACTTTTTCACTTTCCTTCTGGGTGGTATTTGTCTACAGCGACCTGTGGAGTTTAACATAAACGTGGAAGCGCTAATACATACATTGATGAGTCAGGGAGGAACCAATGAGTGTAATACAACAGTAAAGGGAGAATTAAACAATTTTATTTAAACGGAACAAAAAAGCAATTACAATATTAATATAGCTATATTAAATACAATTCTGTGGGTTCACAGGTTTATAATAATGGTTGGTAGTATATGGTATGCAAATACAATATAATGTGAAAATGATTTTTTCACCATTTGTCAAAGCTGCACAGACCGATGTACATCTTGAGAAATGAAATGGAACCTGGAACCTGTATGTACGACTTTGGATACCTTATTGTTCTAACAATTTCACGATCTTTGGTCTTGATCCATCGGCCTATTTTGACACATAATTACAAGTAATGTTCCGTACATCCTACCTCCTTTCTTCCATAGGCTACATGTAGAAATAAGATACTTGAGCAACGAATATGTTTCACATGTACAAATCTTCTGTTGAAATTAGTTAACTGAATATTGACATTATAAAATATGTAAAATGTCAACCCAAGAGAATATCAATTATGCGCCAAAACAGATTCCAAAATAGCGGTGAAACGTATATGACTGGATCGCTAAAAATCAGCGACTGCAGCTGATGTAGGTGAGAAGGGTAAACATGTCCTGTCCTACCGGTAGTCACAAAATTTGCATAAAAACGTAAGTGTTGTTGCCATGCCGCACAGCAGTTTTCCTGCCCTGCCTGTAAGCAAACCACACAATCACGTGATCGATGGGCCAGCAAATCAAATGACACGAAATAACACGATACCCCCAAATTAAAGTACATGTGTATGTACACATTAATGCAGAAAGAGAGTAATGATCAAATATGATAGAAATATTCCCTTTTTACTAGTGGTAATTTTGGAAGTACACAAAATACCATACCTATCTTGTCATATGTATAAAAAATACACAGAAGCATGTTTACCGCCTTTATTTGAAAAAGTTACACTGTCAAAGACACATTTTTCAACATTTTAGTTCATGCAGAGTTGCATAGTAGCCAGGAAATACATTTACTTTTCACTTTGAGAAACTCATCTCGTTCCTAATAGATGAGTTTGCTAGATAACCTACATGTAGATTAGTGTTGTGATGTGTAGTTTGTGTATTGATGTCGACGTGTTTCCTTTAAAGTCAGTACAAGTCTCAAAGTTAAAGTGAGATGAAATGGCGTCTAACGGACAAATGACTGTTTTATAGTGCTTGCCCAATGAGATACCATGCCGAAGTTTAACATAGATACCCCACGCAGACACAGTATACTGAATACGAGCCGAGCAGTCCTTGTTTTATCCCCTTGGTGTATTCTCCCAAGGACAGGCTGCACACTTAACATCATATTTGAATACACTAGCATTGCGTGACATATGGCGTGATATATATTTTGTATGCACACTGTTCGTAGTGTCATGACCTTAATACCAATTCATGCTTGGTGTAAGAGGATTCTATACGTCTAATCCTTCTGATATGACCCAGTTACGACAGGTAGCGGGTTTTTTGTAACGTATAACCTGTAATCTAAAATACACGGCTCTGCAGATGAAGAGATTATATAGAAATATTTATGAATCAAGCACACAGCTGACAATTCTTCCAAGCCAGAACTTACATTCAAGTTAGGAAAATAACTGAATGATACAGTGCATATACCAATCATTTACTAATGAGAAAACATGTAATCAATCATGTTCAAAACCTTCTCATATCATCATGAAAATGCAATACAGAAAAAAAAATGATACCTGCACACTGTAGAGCAATGACTGTTTTGTTACAGGAACATTTTGAGACAAGTTGAGTTTGGACTTGTTAAATTTCCTTTCTTAGATATTGTTATAGGTTCAAACTCAATTTTTACCAAACATTCAAAATAAACACTACAGATATTGGCAAATAGTAACTGCATATAGGCCAAATATAGATCTGGTTTAAAATACACACACTAGCAAAAAATACGTAAGCTACATATAGTACCTTTTCTGGAACATTGGAATACATATGTTTTATCACTGCGTTTAGACCCGATTTTCTCTGAAAGGTGCCAATTAATTCTTGAGGGACACATTTTATATTTTGTGCGGAAATCCAAACAGCAATATATATTTTTGTAAACCCAAATACAAATGATTCTTTTCCAGTACTGTCCGAACAAATTTGTTCAACGAATTCGTCTGTACGAGCTCGCACCAGCAATATAAAAAAATAATATCAATATCCCAATAATGATGTAAACATATTATGTAAAAATACAAACGTGAATTACAAACAATAAGTCTCTCCAAGTAATGGCATCGTCTAACTAAACATCTTAAAATGTGGATAATTCTACCTGTATGCCTCTTCTTATAGACTGAGACTGCTGATATGGCATGCAAGGAACATATGTATTTTTTAAATAGGTCGAAGTACATTTCATGCAATATTGTTCTCAAACTTCTGAAATGTCTGGGACATATGAACTCAATACAAATATAAATCTTTCATCGTTCTGCAGAGCGTATAAGTTTTTTGAATTTGTGAATTAATTTTCGAAATTCCATCAATCAATTGTGACTAAAAACTAGGACACCAATGGCTTCAACACGTATTCATGAGCGAGGGAGGGTCGCCCTCATGCGTTGAAACTGTTTTTAACAATTCTATCATGACATAATATTTTAATATACATTCTACAGATTTTCATAAGCCTGGTTCTTAATCACGTCATATTCACTATTCGCCTTTGCCTCGACATCCAGCGCAGCATAGTCGTTGTTGTAGATGTTGCGACCACCTGCCTGCTCGGATATAGATGGGTAGTTGTCTGATGGTTGTGTTGTGTCCTTGTCCACTGGCACTTGAGTTTCCTTGACTTTTACTGCATCCTTCTCAGACGAGCTTAACCACTGCAGCCTGCGAAATATAATGTAGAAAGCATTCGTCTGTAGGAAATGATATCATGTAAGAACAAATGTACATGTAGGTGGTGTTTTTGTAAGGTTTACTTACCTCCCTTGTCTTACCAGGCCCAAGTAGAGTCCAACTACAAGAATCAGCATGAAACATATTCCAGCAGCTAAGCCGATTATACCAGCTGTTGTAGGAGTGATTGCCGAATCCATGTGTAATTCTTCAAAACAAGAGAAATAGCAACACAGTACATTCAGTGAGGTAAGGTGAAAAGGGGTTCAAAGTAGCGATCAAGATTATGTCATGTATACTGACACAAGAATGCACATGTATGTGTATACTTGTACTAGTCCGAACTTATACTGGTTTTATAGTGCTAGCCCACTGAGACACCATACCGCAGCTTTTATTTGATCAAAAGCATTCTAAATCGACCCCTACGCAATGTTTCGTCAGATCGTTTGTGAAGCACATTGCATATGGGTTTTAATTCCACCCTGGTCGACGGGCGAGATCTAAAATAGGACATACGTTTACTGAAAGGTCACTGGTTTCATGTCTCTGAATATAACGGATGTGAAATGACACTTAGAAAACGTCAACATTCAAACGTATCAGACGTATATATACACGAAACCTACCTATGTCATGAAATAAGGTGATATTTTTCCAAAGGAAGGACAAACATCTATTTAATGATTTTGATGTTTATGATATATCAAATTTCATCAGTGTGGGCTGTTTTCATATACCCCTTTCATCCAACACAAAGAACCATCCGTCAAACAGTCAATATGATACCTAGTTTTGCTGGTAACTGTGGGGTTTTGTGACACTGTATCAATTTTAAGGAACACAGACAATGGAAAAGAATTCAAGAACCCATACTCACTTAATTTGAGATTCGAGTACCCTGAGCTCTTTTTACACCAAAACCAAATTACAAGAAAAAAGTGCCCCTTCTGATGTTTCCTCTGGTTAAAAGATGTACAGTATAATGCTTACAGAATTACGCTTCCTGTGCAAGCAATTAAATAGATCCAAAATGGTTCGAATAAGAGGACATTCCATATTAGTTTAGATCCCTCATATTTGGAGAGGTCCCACGAATCATGACAAAGAAACACATTTAATTGATTTATATCCTCTCATCATGCATTTTTTAAAGTTATGAAAGCTGTACTTTGAAATACCTGCAGTGTTTGAAACAAAGAAACCAGTTTGGCAGGATCCTACAGGTGTCATTGCATCGTACCTCTGTTTTCCATTTGTTTATTTCATTAGTCTCGTTAACTGATCGCTGAGTAATGTGTTTTTTATGAAAATTGGAACCCATCTATCAAATAAAACTATTTCATTTTCACCCGTGGGCAATTGATCTGTACCCTACAGACTTCTTCCTAGACATCTTACTTAAAACGTTGTAAGCTTTTAGTACGATGTCAAGTATTTCAGGACCGATTAAACACAAACTCCTGGAAAAGTAATACCTCCTAAATGTCGTACAGAGTGGACACTGTAGTTATTAGTATGATATTAAAACTGCATCAAGTGTAAACATGCTATATCCAAGCCCTAACTTACGGCGGGTAGTATGGACGACATTCATATTCATATACCCGAAAAAAAGTATCCAAGAACCACTTCTTGCACGATGAAAATTAGCTGTGGCATTGTTTTGAAAAATTGAGTATAATTCAGACGAAAAGGAACCGTCGGTGCCAATGCAATACACAGGGGGCTCATTTAAAACAACAGAGCAACAATAGCTGAATCAATTACATTGAGGGCCAAACGAAACGTTACCAACATTAACTGATTTGCCACTTTGAAACAAAGATGCCAACTTGTTAAAAAACAGTAAAGAACACATCTCACGAATACAGCCTTCATGTTCTCTGTCGTTCTTTGGACGTGCTTTGCGGATTGTGGGAAATATTAGTGTTTTTCAGCAATTTTTTAGAACATTCTTTCTCAAATTATCGTGCAATTTCCGGGTATAAATTACGCATGGATCTGTTCCCTATCATTGGTTGCGATGACTAACACCAACGAACATGCCAAGACTGACCGCAGTCCAGAGGGAGGGAGCCACAGGTATGCTGCAGATGGGAGCGACACAGAGAGCGGTTGCCATTAACATGAACTGCTCCAAGATGACCATTACCAGACTGGTCGCACGTCTCCGACAGACTGGCAGAACCGCAGACAGACCACGGAGTGGCAGACCAAAGGTCACGACCCCGCAGGATGACCGCCTTTTACAGCTACTTCATCTGAGGAACATATTTCTTACTGTGTCGTAATCAGCTGCCAACAGCTTAGGACATCCGGTCAGCAGACAAACTGACCAGACGACTACGACATTATGGTCTCCGGGCTTATCGCCCTTTCAAGGGCATGACCTTGACCCGTCAACATCGACGTGCCAGATTGACGTGGTGCAGACAAACTCAGCGATGGCAACTAAGGAAATGGCGGCGAGTGCTGCTTAGTGACGAGAGCAGGTTCCAACTCTTCAAACCTGATAGGCGGACGCGAGTTTATCGACGACGTGGTGAACGTACAGCTCCTTGTTGTGTCCAGGAGGTGGAACCTTACGGGGGCGGAAGTGTGATGGTCTAGGGCGGCATTTGCGGGGGACGAGAAGACGGAACTTGTCATCATCGAAGGCAATCTGACAGTACAACGCTACATTGACAATATCTTACGGCCTGTGGTTCTTCCTTTCATCCAGCGTCAACAACGGACGGTGTTCCAACAAGATAACGCCACACCCCATAAAGCCCGTATTACTAGAGACTTCCTCAACGCCAACAACGTGACTGTCCTGCCGTGGCCAGCTCGATCACCAGATCTGTCACCAATAGAACATCTCTGGGATCAGCTGGGGCTTCGTCTTCGGAAAGGTCAACATCCTCCCATCACGAGACAAGCGTTGATCGTTGCCCTCCGTGAGGAATGGAATCGGATACCTCCAGTCGATTGAGGACGCTTGTCTACTCAGTTCGACGCCGCATTCGAAGATGCATTGCCGCTCATATAGGTCATATCCCGTACTGAACGGTCTGGGCCGTCGCCACCTTAAAGTTGTAACCAATGTTGTTAATCGAATACTGGACGAATGACCCCTGTTGGAGGTCAAGGACTTTTTAGTAAATTCGCATTTTACTGTTCTGAATGATGAATTTCTACAATACAATTGTTATTGCTGCTTCAAATTGTGTTTGTCATATTTTATCCTAAAAATATAGTTGGTAACGTTACTTTTGGCCGTCAGTTTATAAACGCACAATGAAACGATTACTGAAATAAAGAAATAATCGTCCATTTTAATTACGATTCTGACCATATAAATCCCTATCAAATAGTTATGGTGCCAGGTTTTCGCGAAAAGGTGAACGTACCTGCGCCGCCGATGTCACCTGTGAAACAAAACATGCAAGTGCGAGTCAATTATTCACTTGAACAAAATGAAGGAAACACATGGTACAAGGCAATATGGGGAATTGCCTTCAAGATATCCGGCACATAATTGTATGTAAGCTTTGCGTGACGCTCTTTGGCGCTTTTAGACAGTAACGTGATGTGGTGCCTATAACCTTCAGCTGAAGTTATTACCTGATATCCAGCCTGATACCCAGTGTTGTTTGCTCGACAATTAGCTGGTACTCGTAATCACGATTTTCAACGATTTGTTATTGCATTATATACAAAATCTGAAGAAGAATGGTTTCCAAAATGACTTGTCATGTTCAGGCTGATAACCTCTTTTGAAGCAGGACAAAAACATACTGCATCTGGCCACCTAAGATTGTTATGCAATGTTCTGTAAATGGTCTGCGTGGATCGCTATCCAAATGTTTGAAAGATGAATGGAATGACGTTATTGCAGATTATATAGGTCGGGATGTTTTGCAATGGTGGCTATTGTGTCCATAGGTGGCCATGGTTGGTAATACTTTCTGGTTGGAATTATTTAACACAAAACTGAAAACAAATCGTGACCTGTATTTATTTTATGAAAGGTATATTTTATCTGTTATGGTATATGTCTATCATTCCAAGATATTTTTATGAGATTTTCATTATTTGTCATATTAAGGTCATGGACTAAGACAAAAGAATCACCAAATCTTATCAGATGTAATATCATCACGACTTCTGTAAATCAAATTTTGTCCCGCATGCGTAAATATTCCAGGACATTTTTTACAGTTATGTTAACTTTACTTTTTGAAACTGGATTTGGAAGGGAAAGCACAGCTTGGGTTTCAAATATAAGGTTTACTTAACATGCAGGCAGTTAATTGAATCAGGAAACTGGACACAGCCTTAAGTTTATTCATTCCTTTTCAAGATACATTTTAAGTTTATATATCGCCAATAATCAGATTAAATATGAATTTATATATCAAAGCAAGAGTGAATTGAGGTTCAGACATCCTATTGTGAGCTGTACTGATAATGAACAAAGCTTCACTCAGCTGAGAAAACAGCTGCATCCCTCAGTACATCCGTCAATCAACAACATCGTTACTATGAGCGCAATTCTTGTCAGAGTTGCATATTTTGCAGCTACATGTGTACATAGTGCATGATTTGTAGCATTATAGATTTGGAGCTTGCTGCGACGTCCATACAATGTTTGGCACTCATTTACAACCCACGTAACCTTTATGGTAGTTTCCACGGTGATGCGGCCGTCAACTCTGCTGTTTCAATCAAAGAGGCTTTATTGTGATGTGACAACCTGTGATTGACCAATCAGAATAGAGACATTTCCAAATTCACAGTGAGATTCTGAGTCGCTTGTAATAAATGTATGTAAGCATACTATCGGAAACAGTCACAGACATTTCATTGGAAATGCCCAGAAATGTATTATATTCGTTATATTCGACCTGCATCTCATCTCTAAGGTGCAGACCATTTATTTATTATGATGAGCTATGCAGTATATCTTACCAAGCTTCACTGAGCAGTGGCAACCAATGTATCCCTCAGCACATCCCCAGAGACATCTTCCGTCAACAGCATCACATGTCCCGTTACAGTGGCCACAGTCCGTCTCACAGTTTACACCAAATTTCCAATTGTCACAAACTGAGTCGAAAATACACAGTCGTATATTTTCAACTAAATTATACGAAACCTGTTTTGGTTGTCGATAAACTCCTAAGAATGGATCTGACAATTCAAAAGTTTTTGTTTTTTGTTGTTGTTGTTTTGTTTTGTTTTGTTTTGTTTTTTGTTTTTGTTTTTGTTTTGTTTTGTTTTGTTTTGTTTTGTTTTGTTTTGTTTTGTTTTTTGTTGTTGTTGTTTTGTTTTTTTTTTGGGGGGGGGGGAGTTTATGGCACTGGAAGGCTTTCTATTTACTTCTAATAAAAACTAAAATATTTCTAGATATACACAATTTTATGGATTTTAAGTAATGCCTATCAAACAAGTTAAGATATTTCTATATTTTTTTATATATCTGTGTGTGTGTGTGTGTGTGTGTGTGTGTGTGTGTGTGTGTGTGTGTGTGTGTGTTACGTTTAGCTTGTTTCAGGCACTAAGAGGCGTCCTATTTTAATTTAAAAGATATTCATAAATATATTTTAACCATTAGACCAAGCACATTTGTTTCTTATTGATGGTTGACTCACCTGTCTGACACAGGTCAAGTTGCCAACCTGCCTGACATCCACCTGGACAGGTTCCAGTTACGTGATGACATGTGTTGTTATCAGCACAGTGGCCACAGGTTGATTTACAGTTGATACCATACGTTCCTCTCGGGCACTCTGTTTGGAATAGCACAGAGCAAACAGTAGTCCTGTCTTGACACATCAACACCAAGGGAAATATTTTGGGAGGGGGAAGAGGGGTCTGGGACTGTGATTTATGTAAGTATCAGGATATATTTTCAATCACTGCCTTATAGCATTTGTTTGGTGAAGTGTGGAACAGACATTATTATTTCAGAACTCATCTTTTGCCAAAATATCCAGCATGTCAAACGTACAATTTATGTTTGGTGTATAAATTCTGAGAAAAAATAATGTTCTTGCTGGAACAAGTTATTTTGTATAAAAAATGGTAGGCCTCTGATATATACACAGAATGTCAAATCACGTCATTTTACAACCAAAGTACCCAGAGGCTCACATTTCAAATTCGAAACGTGTTTCCATGTCCCCAAAAGATTCATACAAATGCCTATCCATTTGATCTGTAAGTGGTAATATATACATGAAAGCCCTGCCCTGCTCTGTCGGTAGCACTCGCCACGCATAGAAATAAGCGCCAGTCCGTAAGCAGATTTAATAAATCCATGTGAAGGTAATAACAGGGCATAATCGCCAATCCTGTGGATAAGTGAGGCGCCATATTTAGTACATTTTTCTGCATATCTACCACAAAATGTATGGAATAACATAAGTAGTACTCTTGTTGTAAGTACTCAGTGAAATGTGAATAGAATATGCAACCCCCAAAGTACCGAAACAGTTGAGCAATATAGACACCTTATACTGGAGCTAACTGTATGCTGCTTGACATCAGCATAATTGAGTACAGAGACTGCAAGAATATCTAAGCACATATCCAGATAAGCCACTGAATATTGTTTCTCAACTGTTGCGATGATATCTAACACTGGTCGACAGATGAGGTGAAGAAACTCTTTTATATTGTAACTGTTAAAAAAAATGAGATCACTTATATATGTGAAACTGAACCTTTGAATGTTTTTGACACCGTGTCCTCTCTTTTTGTAAACAAGAGAAGTCGAAACATCCGAATCATATACAAAGAGATCAGCTTCGGGATCTCACGGGGATACCTACCGCTTGTCCCCAAAGTTGACACAGATATTGTCAATTAGGAAAGCCAGCACCTCACATGTGTGCATATATGAATACACTACGAGAAGAGCTACTTTCACTCGCAATAAATAAACTACAGAAAAGAGGCCCTGTTGATAAGATAATGTGATTTCTCTTTCTAAATATCGTGGGACAATGCTGAAACATCACTGGACCAAATGTGCAGACGTCAAACGCAAATAAAAGCGACAATTCCTGTCATTAATAAAAAAAACTCGCAAAGATACGCATTAGAATTGGTCTTCAGCATCCCATGCTTGTCATAAGAGGCGACTAATGGGATCGGGTTGTAAGGCCCGCTGACGTGGCTGATGCATGTCATCCCAATTGCGTGGATCGATGCTAATGATACCAATCAGTGGATTGTCGGGTCCAGTCTCAATTTCTTACTGACCGCCGTCTGTAACTGGAATATCGATGAGTGAGGAGTTAAACAATAAACAACCCAACAAACAAACATTATCAAAAGGAATATCCGCTAAAGCAGAGTCGACTGGTCGATTCCGACAAATTCATGAAGCCACATAGATTTTCAGGTTATATCATTGCCAATATCTTTCCAAAGTGCCCTGAGCCACTTTAAGAAAGGTTACTGAGTAACGCTGTTATCCTCCTCTTGTGACAATTACAGTTTAGATGTATTTGTTGTTGAATACTAGGATTATAATTGATGGCAGAAGAAATACTTGTATATATAATATATGTATGCCAATTTTGTGTCAGAAAAATGAATGTTACCTTGTGTGCAGTCCTGCAGTGTCCATCCCATATCACATCCAGCACTGCATGCTCCATCATTAAGACAGGACGTACTAGTACAATGTCTATCAGAACATTTCAGAGAGCAGTTATTTCCATAAAAGCCAACAGCACAGTCTGAAAGAAAATGGGCATATCAAACTCTTCAAATTCAAATTTTGGAATTCAAGTGTTATTAGTGTACCCTGAATCCTATGATTCCTTATTATTATATATGTTAGAGTTTCGGTTGCGCCCAAAAATATAACCTTCACGCATCATCATCCTTTTAGTGGAGGGAAAAGAAGTCGAACCATTTTGAAGCATTTTGGGGGATTCCTGGCTGAGTGATAATTTATAATGGGGAATAAGTGTCGCCTTCAACATGCCCGTGCAACCTGTGCAGAATAACACTGTGGTTATAGATACGAATTAAACATATTCATTGTTTGGATTTGAGTCCAGAAAATGGAAAATGGCCCAGCCTTACTTTTCACTGAAATACTATGCCTAAATGATATACTGCTGTCAAGATTTTTTCACCATATTTTTTATGTCATAAGAACGTTCCTTTGAAACGGACAAAATAACGGTGCTTTTTTACCTACTTCTAGTGCAGTCTATCTCTGTCCAGCCATCTTCACACCCATCAGGACACAGACCTGTCTCTCTGTCACATGAAGAGGAGGGTGGCTTACAGTGCCGGGAACTGCATTCTCGGGCACAGTTAGGTCCGTACATCCCCATGGTACAGCCTGTGTCAGATAAGAGCGAACTTAACGTACATGTATGAAGAGTGTATAAACTTGTAAAGACTTCTAACTTCCAGTGTTGACCATCCAGTAATCAAACAGCCATTAAAAGTATGGATTAAGAACTTGAAAATACATCCTTACACGGATTGTCACTCAGTTTGGAAAATAAATGTTTTTGTACTATCCGTGAATTGCTTGATATCATATGTTACTTTAAACTCCCCTGAAAACTGCATTTGTAGAAATATTCAGATATTCATGAATTTCTTCCCCATATGAAAGAAGGCAATTATGAAATGCATAAAGTTAACTCGTTAATCAATTACAAAGGAATAAACATACTTTGCATACAGTCTTCTCCCTTGTAACCACTTTCACAACCATCAGAACACACTCCACTCGTGTGATTACATGTGCCAGACTGTGTCTTACAGTGTCGGCTGCGACAGGACTTGCTGCATTCTTTTCCATAACTCCCAGGATCACAGGCTGAAATTAATATTATTTGCTAACTTGTGTGTTTCAGGCTTCATTTTAAAATTTGATAGATAGAATGTATACTCCGATTTGCATATTCATTAGCTTTATGTCAATCTCACACAGAGCGTAAAAAAGTCAAATACCTTGCTACAAACACAAACGTTTAAGTTGCCCCAATATTAATTTTCCTTAATATTAATTTCTGTTGTGAAACAGAAATATGTCCCGCAACTCGATGAAAGCTGTCGCAAGGACGATGTGATGTATATTGTTGGCAAACAACAAGTATATTTCCAGCCAGTATATTACGTACCAAGAGAGTCCATGCATAACTTTTTATGAATGACCAAACGCCTACATAAAATATAGTTGAAGTCGGATATTGAAAAGCGCTTCCAGAGTGAACAAGTTGTCACCAAACTCTAATTTTGGTGGGTAGTATGGTCGTTTCGTCACATTTATTTGCCCTCTCATACTGAATAGAAGATCCCACACATGACTTCTTGCAAAATGTGAATTATCTGTCATCAAGTTCTGAAAATTTGAAACCTGGTGTTGAGTTTAAACGAGATCTAAAGGAAGAGTGTTAGTGTGAATGCAATATAGCTGGTGGTAATGCAGAACAGCACAGACTGAATCGCTGAATCAGTTAAATAAACGCAATTAAGAATACGTTTTGTAAATAACAGTTATAAACAAAATATTTCCACAATCTTAAGAAATATCTACTAAATGCAGAGCCCATTGTTCGATTCCGACTACAGCAAGTAGGTAATGATAGCAGGTCTTCGAGAAATAGTAAGCGTATACTGCACCCGTCATGCGATCTAATGTGTTGACTATTACCTTGAATACAGTCTGTTCCCTGATAACCAGCCGTACATCCACCCATACACCGTCCTTGTATGACGTCACAACTGGAGTCCGACTTGCAGTGACGGGCTGCACAGAGTTGGTCACAGCTGCTTCCGTAATACCCAGAGGTGCATGCTGGTAAATACAATGAGTGAAAAAATTTGGTTGAGCCCGGCTTTAAACAAATCAGTTATATCGGGGTGTGTCTGCTTGATGTGGGCGTGTCTCAGAGGTTTACCATTTTCGTGGAGTTCATGACCTAGGGTGTGGTGCTGAGCCGACAGACCTAGAAACATAGTGTGGACGTATCCGGCAAAGGGGCGCAAGTATCTACATCGAATTGTGGCGTCTTAGACGACTTGTCCACCTGTGCCTATACTGGAACTGTCATGTCAAAATCCACATATTAATAATGTAGGTGGTATCGTGATGTCTTATGTGATGCAAGACGTTTCAGGGAAAAACTACGCTTTGGCAATTATGTGAAAATATGAATTAGATAAGAATCAGGATGGTCACTGATACTGAGCGTCTTTTGACATTCACTTATCGGATAAACAGTTGGAAAAATATACTATGCTACAACGGCAAGGCGATACCTGCATTTATATTCTCTCATTACCCAAAATGTCTTCATGTAAAGAAGTTTAAGTTTATAACATGCATTTTTACATTTTATTGCATATGCTTTAAAAGTTAAATGATTTTCTGATATCGGATTTTAGTGAGGACAAGAATTTAAAAAAACTGATACGTAAAATGTTCTTTGCAGAAACCCAGCGTGCATAATAACTGAGTAAATAGTGACGTCGCCATTCATGTAAGCGAATAACACATGAATGTGGTATCTCATTGAAACTTCACAAAGCTCCTGTTGTAGACACTGTTGCATGGTAATAAATATAAATTTATATATGGTTTACATGTAATTTGGTTAAGGTTCAGATACATTCAACTGAATACTGTATTTTATTTCATTACACCATAATATAAGATATACAATGCATCTCTAAGCTGCTCTGCACCTGTGCCAGTGAAACTATTCAAGCTTTGAAATTTCAATGTGCGTGACTTATCACGATCCTAATGTCTTTAAGTGCAAGCTAGGGTATGTTACATCACCATCTGTTTCCGCATGACCCCACTCCTAGAAACATAGAGCTATATGTTGTGGGATATGTATAACGGGCATGTTCATTCCTGCATTACTACTGCCTGATGATACTACCGTAGTCAGTACAAGTCTAAAGATTAATGCTATGCTGACCACATTGTACACAGTAGACTATGGAGAACAAATGTTGTCATTCGATACCGAAAGTATAAAGTGTGTACCATAAAGAGAATGAATCAACCTTTCCAATGTTTGGATCTAAACACCGAAACACTTGTGTGACGTCACCCTTCTCATTATAACGCAACAGACACTTTGCTACAGCCGAAAAGCAAAAGGTATTGTCACATATACTTTGAATATTTGTTTTCCTTACCCTACAAGTCTGCATTTTGTTATTACAATATTGGTGTCTGTGGTAATGGAGTTAACTAAGATGATTACTTAAAACGTGACTTTGATACAGGATGGCATCGTACATCCACGTCAACAAACACACCTGTGCAGTCTGGTAATGCCCACCCTTGTTGGCACCATGAACATGCCCCTGTGTCAGTAGCACAGGAGTCCCGGGCGTTGAGGCAGTGACGGGAGGTACAGTACTTGCCACAGTTGTCTCCATACGTTTGCCCATAAGTACATGCTGAAATAAAGGTTTAGAAAGAATAATTGCTCTCACGGATGCGAGTTTAGCGCTACGTGTTTGCAGCAAATGTCCTAATTGTTACTCCGAATTTGAATAAACACAGGCAAATGGAATTATTTGAAATAACACTTTTGACAATGCCAAGAGTGCTGTTTATTCAATTGCTGTTCAACTATCACCTGTGTACTAATTCCCAAAATGAAATCTGTTATACACTTTCTATTATTTAACACAATGAGTGGTAATCAAAGATTTAGGGTTACATCAAAACTGATCATAATGATATAAATTGATAATGATGTTAATGAGCAGTTTTATAAAATCCAACAACTCTGCTGTTATACGCTCATTAGCTATGTTGTTGAAACATATAACAATAGTTTTTTATATATCATGTATATCACGTGACAAAACAAATGAAACTTAAAATGTCAACTGTACAATGGGCCATGTGGCCTTAAATACCGAATAAAATATCTATCTATCTATTGATATTACCATGTAGAGTAAGGCGCAATTTACGTGCCTATGTTACTAATAAAACTGTTGGGGTGGCATCGTGATCTTTGTAAACAGTCATCTCCCACGAAACCACTGTCGCAACCATCGGGACTCATCCCTGTCACAAGTCGTAAGGTTAATACCGTGCTGACCATAACGTACACAGTAGACTCTGGAGACCAAAACGTTGTCATTCGATACCGAAAGTATAAAGTGGTTACCATAAAGAGAATGATTCATTCCATGTAATGTTTAGATCTAAACACCGAAACACTTGTGTGACGTCACCCTTCTCATTATAAGGCAACAGATACTTTGCTGCAGCCGAAAAGCAAAACGTATTGCCACACATACTTTGAATATTTGTTTTCGTTAGCCTACAAGTCTGCATTTTGTTATTACAATATTGGTGTCTGTGGTAATGGAGATAACTAAGATGATTACTTAAAACGTGGCTTTGGTACAGGATGGCATCGTACATCCACGTCAACAAACACACCTGTGCAGTCTGGTAATGCCCACCCTTGTTGGCACCCTGAACACACTCCTGTGTCAAGAGCACAGGAGTCCCACACGTTGATGCAGTGACGAGAGGCACAGTACTTGCCACAGTTGTCTCCATACGTTTGCCCATAAATACATGCTGAAATAAAGGTTTAGAAAGAATAATTGCTCTCACGGATGCGAATTTAGCGTTACGTGTTTGCAGCAAATGTCCTAATTGTTACTCCGAATTTGCATAAACACAGGCAAATGAAATTATTTGAAATAACACTTTTGACAATGCCAAGGGTGCTGTTTATTCAATTTGCTGATCAACTATCACCTGTGTACAATTACCCAAAATGAAATCTGTTATACACTTTCTATTATCCAACACAATGAATGGCAATCAAAAATTAAGGGTTATATAAATATCTGATTATAATGGATATCAATGGATATTACCATGCATAATTGGGCACTATTTACGTGACTATGTTCCTTATGAAAATGTTGGGGTGGCATGATGATCAATTGGAAAAAATACGCACTAAAGCACACTAAACGCGACTGATACCTTCACTATGCTCCAGCGAATCATTCTTAATAATAATAGTGATTTGATTACGGTTTTACATGTCACTGGAAAAACACATTGCTGTAACATTTCTAATAGATTACTTTCGTCTGTCTGTGACTTGTGAAACGGTTTGTTTAAAAAAAAATGAAATTAGAACCCACATTAAATATGGCTTTGAGGAAATGCATTATAAAGTCCCACCGTTAATCAACAGAACACGTAATAAGAATACTTTGTAAACAGTCGCCTCCCACGAAGCCACTGGCGCAGCCATCGGGACACATCCCAGTCACAGGATTACACGTCGCAGATTGTGTCTTACAGTTGCGGTTCCGGCAGTTCTTGGTACATCCTTCCCCATACCACCCTGTGCCACATGCTGAAACTAAGGATGAGTTATGCTATATAATAATTCCTTACAACTTACTGAGTAATGATCACCATAATGTTTTCCTAAACAAGAACTGACATCTGTTTATACTTAGAATAGTAAGTATTATACACATACTTATTTCTGCGCAAATGACAGTAGTATTCGTGATCAATTGGCTAATGTGAGATGCAAAGTACTTAAAAATTATGCCATCACATATGAAAAGATGTGATGACACCAGGTGATCGCGAAAAGGGTCAGCTTGTCCGGCCCTACGGTAGCACTCGACACTCACGCAATTTGCATACAAAACATTATTGAGTTTATTGGCTGATGCCGCACAGCAGTACTACTGCCAGGCGACGGGCAAACGTCATAAGATATACATTTGTTTTCTTGATGACAACCTGTAGACACCCTCGGCGTATATTGCCAGATACTAGTAATTAATGCATTGAGAAAACTGTGTTTCTTAATAATTTTAAGGTTCATCCGCCTATTAATTGTCGGGATTCAACTTTCTCATTTGCACATGTGATCTGCTTAATATTATAATATTGTCGACAATTTTCTGTTATTGTTAACAGATTATAAGTGTCAAACCGGTGATGTACATTAAGACTAATGGTTAGTCTCTTAAAATGTATAACTTTTATAGAAACAAATAATTCCAACGAAATTGAAGAGGGGCCCCAGTGAGATGGGAGATTCAGAGATGAACCATAGGGAAAATCTTGACTTGTTTCATTTAGCGCTTTTGTGTGATAGAAAGGGCTGAGCGACAAGGAAATGATATGGTTCAGGACTTCGCGACAGACTAGTGTCTATTCTATGGATATCTAGTCTGCCACCCAAACCGATCCAAACGGGATCTACCCATTTTCTATTTAAGTAATCTTAAATACTATTATATCAGATATACTCGACCGCCTGTTACTGTTCCAGAGTCATCCTCTCATAAAACTTCATATTGTTCATCGTATCACATTTTTATCAACAAGGGCTGCAATTTAAACTACTGGAACACCACAACACAAGGCTGTTATCAAGTGCTAGTGCAAACGTGATGCATCGTAAAAAGTGTGTCGTGGTGTCTTCAGAAGTACAATGTATTGCAGATATATATACTACGAGATTATAAGGCTAACGCTTGCTCGCCGTTGGAACGTACGCAGTATCGAGAAGACATGCACACGTCATTATTTTTGAAGATATCGTGAAGCTATAACACTTATACACGTTTCTAAGTAACTTTCAACAGTTATGCTCTTCATTTTAACTTTGCTTTGAGATACACATATAGTACTACCCGACTTGTCTGTCATACATAATTCTGGGACAGTTTGCAGTCTAGTACTGTCCTACTAGACACTGAGCGAAGCTAATTGACCAGGGTGTTTCTAGTAATCCTATTTTCACTTGATTCTAATTTCATGGCACCCTGTTCTCTGGATCACAGCTCCGTGACAATACATAGCAATTAAGATGAGCATTCAGTAAATGAATAAGTGTGGTTTAACGCGACAGTCAGTCAATGACCAATGCTGTGCGGTTAAATGACACACTTCCAAAGGTCAAACATTGTGGATCCTTATTAATCCGCTCTGTCGATATTCCTGGTGACTGGGAATCGTGTCAAGATATTCATGCGCAGCTTTGGCTACCTAAAGAGAATCAAAGTTCATGTGCTAATCCATCTCCAAAAATCGTCCCGCTCAAAAAGACTTTTCTTTATGTTAAATCCATCATCTACCACCACCCCCCCCCCCCCCCCCGTACACACACAAATACGCACGTACGCACGTACGCACGCACACACACTCTCCCTCCCCCCCCCCCCCCCCCCCACACACACACAGACACAAACGCACTCACGCACACTCTCTCTCACATACACACACATACGCACGCACACACACTCTCTCACACCCAAACACACACACACACACACACACACACACTACAGACCTAAATAACCTGGTTAACTCCGCCGCGCTACCGCAGGATGTTCATCCAACTCTGCAGGGGGCATTCTCTGTGGCTTGAAACGCGCTGAAATGTTTCCAAAATGGCGCATCCAAAATGGCGCTCAAGTAAAATCGTGTGATATTTGGTTATTTTAGGTCGATGTCATTTTATAGTTACACGTTTGTGAAGAAGCTTACAAATTTATAACACTTATTCATTTAATTCCAATAGACCTACTCATGCTCACATAAAGCTGTAGTTATTACGTCACTGTTAATTTCTTTAAAAACTATGTTACATGTTTATCAATAACAACGGAGATGGACATTCAATTTCCAATACAAGTAAATGAATGAGTGTGTTTTACGCCACAGTGAAAGACCAAAGCTGTCGGGTTTGATGACACACTATCTACTAGGTAGCACCTTTTATTCATCCGTTCTTCATTTAAATCTCCTCTGTGGATGTTCCATGTGACGAAAGAGAATCTCATTAATACATTCTTGTGCGGCATTTTCTACAATAAGAAGGTCATAGTTAACCTGCTTATCCAAATGCAACTACTATACCGCTCAAGGTTAATGTCTTTTTTGTTATATCCAACAGTCCCACATTTAAAACTACACACAGGCACACACACACACACAGGCACACACACACACACACACACACACAGGTAAACTTTCACCGACAACAAATTTTAACGTTGCGATAACACACACTTTCTCAGCGAAGTACAGATTCTCGTACAGTTTGGGGTTGAGCCTCGTCCGCTGATAAATGGCGCTGAAGGTGATTATCAATGGACAAATGGACATACACTTAACTTATTACCGATTGGTAATGGGCAATGGACAATGGGGAAACGGGAGGCCGGGGTATCACTTCTAAATGCCCTTCGAAGACTCAATCTAGCTTTGTTTTCAAATTTTGAAATATTTGCTTAGAATATAATCATGCCTATCATTCTTTGGTCATTAGCTACATGAGCATTTAAACTTCAATTGTATAGAGAGTGGCTGGGTTATTTGATCTTGAGGACAGATAATTAGAATTATCATATAATGGTTAGGTGTCTCTGCAGGATAAGGCCAACGCATAAAAACGGTATCCGTTGGGGTCATATCGGATAGAGGTGCAAATATCAAAGGTCAAGTAGGGACTACTTTTACAAACAAACACGGCGTCGCACTTGTCATTCGGCGGTCGAGTCAGAATTTACCGTAGGGAATCTGGAGAAACTATTGGGATAATTTCTACCATTATCAAAAGAATAGTCTTATATACTGAAAATCAGTGTCTGGCTGTGATGTAACTAAGAATTTTACAAGTTTGGGCAACTTTGGAGACATGCATAAGGAATTATATCAAAGAACAACACAAAGGGTGCTGTTTATTGAATTTGCTGATCAACTATTATCTGTCCCATTGCTCAAAATGAAATTTGCTGTGCACCTTCCATTATCCATAATCATGTCACAAAACCCTTTCCCTATCCAATAGAAACCTCTGCATAAAGCAGAGTCGATGGTACGAGTCCTACTATATCACGAGCAAATGCTTATGAATCACTATCAAATAGTAATGGTACCAGGTCGTCACGAAAGGGTGAGCGTATTCTGCACCACCAGTGGCACCTGTCACAAACATATGCAAAGGCAAGTCAAATGTCCACCTGAAAAAGCACGGGAACATATGGTACGAGTCAAAGTAGCTAGGGAATCGCAATGGACATCATTTTTGTTACTGATGCGTCAAATTTAGCAATGTAATCCACATTTCTACCATAAACAAATTGGAAGCTTTAACTAAGGCTTTGAATTTTTGAAATAACAATCAATGACTATCAAAGAGTTAAGGCTTTGTAAATATTTGGCTAAAATTATGACAATGGATATTAACATTTATTATGCCTCAACGCGAGATTGACCAATCAGTGAGCAGAACTACTAAACCCATATGAGCCTGTATACCGTCAGTAAAACTCCAAGATGGTAGTTACTGACCTAATATCGTCAGGAACAGCCATTTTGGATTCATAACCCACTTCACATATCTTTGAAAGGCATTTAGAAGTGATACACATAAGGAAGAGAATATATGAATGTCAGCTTCTTCGTTATGAGGAGCACACCGTTTCGGAGTACATGTATATGCTCCCTCCTTCATCACGTTCCTCAAAATACAGAAGTTGACATCCATATATTCTCTTCCCCACTTCACATATTTCACAAGACAAATCTGGTACATAAATTCGTTATTGGACACTGATTTGTGTTTTACTATAATTAATTGTGATGTGCGAAGACATTATTTTTTTAGGAAACTACGTTCGAGATTTTATCACTAAAAATTATAGAGAAACAAAGATCACAATGGAGGTCACGGATTTACAAATAGCAACGTCACAGAACATAATAAAGGATGACGTCGAAAACAAGAAATGTGACGCCAATGACGTCACATAGCAATAGAATAGATAGTAGCCCGTCGTTATGGACAAGCGGACTGCTATCAAGTTACAGTTGTCCGCAGATTTGTGTTTACATTAGAACGTTAACGTTGTATCGTTAATATGTACTAGTCCTGTCATTTATGCCGATTGTAAGGGTCAAGTTTTCACTTTGATATGACATGTGCGATGAAGATACCAAATAGTGTATCATTTTCGGCATAATAAATTCGTTATGGTGTCTTTAGTGGCCGTATTCGCTGTCATATGAGGTTAAGAGAAAAATATTCGGCTCACGCCTCGCCCAATATTTTTTCTTCTAACCTAATATGGCCACTAAAGACACCTTTAGTATAGTATAGTTAAGATCAGTTTACATGACTATACTAGTAACAGAAGTGTTGGTGGTATCCGTGATCAATTGGCAAAATTATTTCAAAAAGCATTCTAAAAGCGACTGATACCATCACATCGTTTCAGCGAATCATTCGTAAAATACATTGCACGGTGATTTGGAATGCAGCTGTCACTCAGTTTGGAACTAAACGTTACTGTACCATTTCATTGATTAGTTTCGTTTAAAGCTAGCCAAATCAAGCAAAGTATGGAATTTTCTTGAAGGTATGTATTCTATATCATTGGGGCAAGCACATGTCTGTCTCATCTCACATTACATCCGGACAAGCGGATGTGTGAAGATCATTGTTTCCCGCCTGGGTATCCAGCCTAGTCCCATTTTGGA